AACGTAGGTGCTTTAATACTTTTATTTCCGTTGATTATAAAGGAAGGTGTTTGCTTTCCTCTGTTTTGTTTCCCCGTAAATTTAGATGGGCTGACCGTTTTTCCGACTGGTTTATCTGTGGTTTCCTAAACCATTTCGCCGACCTTGACCAGAAGCAAATGGTAGCAACTTCTGGTGGCGCTCGAGATTAACCGTTCCGACAGTGCCAACAAGCGAAGGTTATAAAAATGATGGTTAACATTAAATTCATATACTTAATAAATAATTAATTAATATATTTTGGTAATTAAAAATTTTATTTTTAATCCAATAAATTCAATCCGATAAATCCTCCGCTTACTGTACTTATAAAAAATTTTAAAAAAATGCGTAATCACCTTTTAGATGAAATTAATAGCACAGTGCGCATAAAACTATTTCCACCTAAAGTCGATATTTCCAATGGAATGGATTCAACAAACAATTACAGACTCAATAATAATTAACAAACGACAAAGGGTAAAAAAATATATATCACATAACGAAAAGTGATTATTTGTGTGTACCTACATCTTTGGAGTCGAGTCGAGATAGTGAAGTGAAACATTCTGTTATCTCGACCAGCCATGAGACACCACAATATGAATTGACAGGATCCACCCTGTACATATAACCTACTACGATAAGGCATACGTTTTTGCGAGCAGGCAACAGCACGACTTTTTAGAAAGGGGTAAGCTGTTTGCGCCGTCCAAGAGCATGAACGCTTGATACATTAGGCCCTCTTGATTTGAGCTGTCGTCGAGAGAGCATCGTAGCTGTAGTTTAACATTGTTGTTTTTCTTGTATGATTTAATGCAGGTAGTATTTCTGTATGTCTTTATCATTTAGGTATTTGTCTTCTGTATATATTTTTTGTTTTTCAACGCCTCAATGTTGTATAACGTGTATGTATGAAATCTTTATCATTTCTGGTGTAAATGTTTGCTCGATTTAGTGTTGTTTTGATTACATGGTCTCGACCCCAAGCTTAATTTATATATTTCCATTCATTCGTTTAAATTTGTGCGAATTATCGAATTGTTTAATGTTTGTATGGACTTATCAATAAGCTAATACTTGACGCCGTGAAGAGACAGTCACACGGATGGGAAATACTGTAGCCAAAATATTTACCACGTCTAAAACTATGATTGACCTCGAATCTCAACTCTAGGCTTGGATATCCCGCGCGAGGGACAAGTTACAAGTGCCAGGGGTGGCACCCTGCCAACAGAAATCTATGTACCTATTTATGAGTTATTTCATTGTTAACATTGAAGTTGCCTGGCAAGGTCATGTAATTTTCCATGTTACTTTTATCAAACGGGTTTTATTGCATCTAAGATAAGCCACCTGTTCTACATTTAGCTTGTTTTGTTACCTTCTACCTCCTACTACATACACTGACAACAGTGCCTAAACTAGGTAGGTGCCGAAGGTGCCGAGTTCCAAAGGCGCATCGAAGTGGTACCGATCAGGCACTGAGGTACCGAAAACACGAGGGCCCTGGATACGCGAGAGCACCGAAGCGAAGGCGCGCGAACAGCGAACGCTCTAGGGCAGTGTTTCTTAACTTGTGGTCCACGGACCCCTTTTTTTCAGTACTAAAATAAATTGTTCGAAATTTTTTCTTTTTTCTATTGAGGGGTCCTTGAAATTGTGCTTGATTTTCTAGAGGTCCGCGGACTGGAAAAGATTAAGAAACACTGCTCTAGGGCACTAAGTCGGAGTGGACGGTACGGGGTATAGGCCCGTCATTAAAGACAAGAACGACCTAAAGTCGATTACTGGGTGTAAAACACTGAAATATTAATTAACACTAAATTTGCGGCCCTTTAGGATAAACGGAACATTGTTAAAAATTGAAAAAATTATCAAAGTTTTCGTGCGAGATCAAAGAATCGAAGACTACCAAGTGCCAAATTCATAGTCTCTTTGGTACTACATTGTATATGGTACCACGAAGCTCTTAAAAAAATGGACTGCCAATACAATAGGCGCTTTCTTTCGGCTGCTTAGCAATCATGATTTCAAAATCGTGATTCGTAGGATCACGTTTTACTAAAGAACGCGCGAATTTAAATCAAAGTATGGTTGAGTTTACGTAGTACACATTTGCATTCGAATTATGTATTTTTTTTTGGATTATGAAAATAATTTAAATACAAGTGGAAGTACTTGCACAATTATGCCCCTCTTCAGTTACAAATAATTGACTAATCGAACATTTGAGCAAAAATATCCTTGCATTTATAGGTTAGGAATTCGTGATCATAAAACTTTTATGTTCAGTTTGTTCACGATTTTAGCAATCATGATCATATACTTTGTTTCACTGGTGTCAGCACCAGGTATAGGCATAGGTTCAGACCTGACGTCATAAATGTGATTCTCTCTTCATTACATTTAAATCGATTGAGACAAAAAAATTACGTCATTAACGTAAGTCGTGACAAATAAACCAATTGATCTGTCATAATATCAATCCGTCAAATGATTTTCGTTATAGACAGATTTCCAGTGTTAAACGCCTTTTCATTAGGTAGTTTGTATTAAAAGTGAAGTAAATATCATCAAAGTTAAAAACGCTTAGGCAAGTCGACAGTGCAGCAACGCCGTTAATAGACAAGTATTTTAAAAATTTTACCGCATAATGGTTCGATTCGCTCATATCATGAATTTAGGTCATTCCCGTTACTATTAGGTAAATATGACGAACCGATACACAGAATGAAGATGTTCGCCAGAACACTTAGGTATTGAATTGATTTTATAGGTGAGAATGTTACACTCCGTTCCTTACACAGTAATCTTCAACGACTTGATGGCGTAGAAATATCTGCTACCTTTTTGTCCCGCAGTTTGAAGAAACTGAAATTCACGTGGCGGAGATGCACCGTTTCCAATAGATTATTTTTAATGGAACAGCCCTATGCAGTTCAAAGAAGACTACAATTTTTGAGAGACTTTAAACACAACGAAACTTCACTCTTTCCATTACGACCTGTGGTTTTAGACGAAACCTGGATATACAGTAAAGGGTCTTTGAGAAGAAGCTGGCAAGATGGTACTCTCAAAACAGTTAGAAAAAGAAGTGGTGAAGGGGTCCGGTATATACCTAATACTCCATGCAGGATCAGAAGATGGATTTGTGGTGTAGTGTCGTTTTTTCTTTTGTACATACGATTTGAATATGAACATTTGAGAGTTTTTTCTTCACTACCTGTTTTCTCTCACAATTGCGTTTTTTTTTAAATAAATCGGATCAGAAGATATTCAAGATCCTTATGCCAGGGGTCGGCAATCTGCGGCTCGCGAGCCGCATGCGGCTCTTTTGATATAAAGTTGCGGCTCTCCGTATTTATCTAAAGAAATTACTTCATTTGTTCGAAATTCGCCTTTTTAATTAATCTTATTTGTTTACCAAATCAAAAGTACACTTGCAGCAAATAATTATCTAATTTGTGACACCTGTTTACCTTTACTTTCTTGTATTCTTTTGTTTTTTTATTATAGCAGCCTACTCCGATGTATAAACACGTAATTAATTAATGAGTAGGTACTTTTGTGAAAAATATTGAATAACATAAAAACTGCGGGGTTTAAGCACAGGGCACCCCTTATAAATATTGAAGAGAACGCAAAAGACAATCGAATAGCGAAATAAAACAGTAGTAGTTCCATTTGAAAAAGAATAGTTATAGCAGTTTGAACAAATGGCATTGAAACAAGTAATATGCAGGATGTTCTATTTAAAAAGATCAGTTATTTATTGACATCGTAAAAATGGGACACCCTGTACATGCAAAAATAATTTCTGTAGATCCGCAACCACCAATATTTTTTACCAGGTATCAGCTATGTAGGAAAAACCGACGCATTGTTGCAGGACCCTGTATATAGCCAAATACTATAATATTAAATCAAAATTTTTTTGTGGCTCTTTCAAAACTGGGAAATTTTATAAGTTGTAATTTTTGGCTCTTCTGTTTCAATAGATTGCCGACCCCTGCCTTATGCGAATATCTCGACTGTGTGGCAAAAGAACAGAAACTGCATGTATGTATGCGTTGTTATTTCAATGAGCCAGTGGTATAATGACTACGCTTTATCTCAAATTTGTAAGATGTATAAATGCAAAAGGCTTACCGATAAACCATGGCCTATTCTACTTCTGCAAATGGCTAGTTAAGGGTCATTAAAATTCCCGCAACTTAACGCGTATTCTTCACATTGGTAGCATACTTAATTTCACATCAACATTATGTAAACAAAATATTAATTTACGAACTGCCTAAACAAACTTTAAGTTACAAATGTTCCTATGCGTTTTCTGTAACCATCATACACTTCATCTCAAAGAGTTTCGGATGCTCTGGCAGTATCCATTTGGATTGTCGGTGCAAAGAATCGGTTACATGAGGTGATTACAAACGGTGGAAAAGGTTTAATTCGTACCAACGGACTTCCTCTACATAAAATACATGACCATTTAGCCATTATAAAACCTAAGAACAGGAAAAAACCTATCAGAACCAGATGCCTTACAAGTGATTGTCAACTTGGGCGGTCTAAAATGATGAACGATAGTGACACCTTAATAAATAAGTTGAAACGTCAATGTGACAATATGTAAACCAACTACTAAATTTACGACCTGCCTTAATTTTGCTATGACGTCAGATAGTGTGACGAAAGGTTCAGCACCCTTGAAACAAAGTTATAAGATCACACTTCGAAAGAACGTGATTTGACAATCCAAACGCGTTTGGATCACCGAAAGAAAGCGCCTAATATTCCACATTTGTCCACAAATGCGATAGTGTTTTTTTGAAGTTGGTAGTGACAGGTTTTAATTAAATTTACATGGAATGGATGAAATATTTGTTCAGCAACAATCTTAAAGATTGAGCCAATGTTCCACACTCCTGAGCTCGATGGTAAATTGCGATATCTAGTGACTTTCGCTTTGTTCTATTGGTGTATTGGCTAGTGTGAAATGGAAATGTTCCATTGTGAAATCTAGAGAAATTTTTGTCAAAGTTTAAGATTGAAATGGAAGTAATGAATATCGCCTTAATATGTTCAACGCAAGCTATTATTCGTTTTAATTATCATTTATCGGTGAATAAAGGTCCGTATTACACGTGCAACTGATTAATAGTTGATTAGGATTACGTAAAAGTACACATAAGAGGTAAGTGGTGGTGTCATCTTGTGGCAATTTATTTCCAATCTAACCATTTTCTTTTCAGGGGTACACGTGAAGGTTTAGAGCAGATTGTCGCAATATTATTCCCAGCACTATGGAAGATTGGGGTATTTTATTAATTGAACGTACCTCATTTAGTTTCTTTATCTAAGTATACTTTTTAGAAAATGAATTTGTGCCTCGGGGTGGAAAGGATGGTGTCGCATCTAACCAATGGGAAGGTGAGGATGAGGACGATGATGTTAAAGTAAGTTCGAATCTAGCCTAATGTTCCAAGTGTATCATAATTTAGAACCAGTCATCTAAGCTGGACTTTAATTTTTCCTAGCCTTATGTGTCATGTTTAATTTACATATTGCCTATCCTTAAATTTTAACTCCTACACCTAAGTTTCAGTAGTGAGATATCGGTATATATTTACAATTTTGTCACAGGACAACTGGGAAGACGAAGAAGAAGAAAAGAAGGCAGAAGACGGTGCAATTATTGCCACGGAAGTAAAACAAAAATCTAGGAAAAAGTTACAGGAAATTATTGCCGAAAAGGAGGTATGTAACATATATTGTGTAATTGTGGAAGAGGTATTTGATAAAAGCTGAAAGTGTAATTTGTCTTGTTTATGGCTGTTTGCACCAACAAATTTAAGCAGAGAAAATCCATGGCAACAATGATTTCCATGGATTTTAAGCTAAGCTCTGCTTAAATGTGTCGGTGCAAACGGCCATTAGTCTTACAGGGACTAATACAGAAAAATATACAGAGCTTCTTTTAAGAAATGACATTGATGTACAATTCCTTATGCATACCTACTTTTAAATGGACCACACATGCATTAGGGATTTTAGATCAAATTTTAGGTAACTTACTTACTTTTTATTCAACACAAACGAAAAATGTATGTACGTTTGTCATTGTGATGTAAATTGTTGATTTTGTCAAGTTGGCGGGTGATTCCAAACACTGGTATCGTTAGATAGCATTTCTCATTTGTATCTTGTAAAGAATCGCGATTGTTTTGTTTTATAGTTGGTGATTTAAATGAAAGTACATCATATACATACAGAGCTTTCATTTCAAAAAGAAGCACCAATTGTAATTTGTAATTTTGATGAAAAGAACAAAAATTGCAAAAACACGCCCATTTAGATAGCTAGGGGAAGCGTTATGCTTATGACAGATGTCCTCTCACCGGGGCACTACCCCCCACTAGAATATTAGAAATAGTAAAAGTTTCAGTAGTAATCATTATTTTTAACAGCGTGCAAAAAAAGAAGAGTTGGAAAGGAGAGCACAAGAACAAGAGGAGGAGGAGGAGGAGGACGTGTCACCTGAGGAACAACTTCGTAGGGAGAAAGAATCCGATTTAAGCTTAGCGTTAGAAACAACTTTTGGGGGTAGCAATAAGGGCGTCGAAGGCCAGCCCACCAACAAAGAAGAATTTCTGGAATTAGCCGAGAACCTTTCGAAAAACTTACAACAATTTACGAAGAATGAGGAGTACCCGGTTTTTGCTGAAAACTTAGTGAGAGGCATTTGCGCTACCTGTAGGTTTGTACTTCTCAGACGACAGTGTTTTACAATTTTCTGTTCCAGTAAATTCGTTCGATCTAAAAAAAATAAAAACCACTATAGATAACATGTATTTGGAGAAACAAAAAATAGAAAAAGGAGATAAAGCAAAGAAAAATAAAGGAAAAGGTAAAGCCAAGTTAAAAATGGATGGTGATAATGTAAGTTTGTGCGGTGAGTTATACGCAACATTTGAATAAAACTTCCTTTTCAGTTAAATCAATACTCTGCCTATGTTGATGACTACGATTATGATGACTTCATGTAGCAGGCCCAAGTTCATTATTGTTTAAATTCACTGGGAGCTGTAATTGTTACTAAAGATTTTAAAATACTTTAAATGTTAAAAATTCAAATTTGTTACAAATATTTATATTTACACCTTCATATTTATATAAAAAATAAGAAGCAGATTTTAAAATTATCAAGCTACAGTAATTATTATTGCTCCTTATTATTGTTATTAATTAATATCTAAGGATTTTGAAATAAAGTAACTAACCTTTAATATTATTTTTTCTCTCGCTGTCTTGCAGTTTTCTTATTTTTACTATAAATTGTTTTTGTTATTCAGATATCCGATTCTACATTGCTACTTTTGCATTTTGTATCCATAATTTTATTACGTGAGCGGAAGTTATGTAACACTTGTTATGCAAATATATGATTTTGCAGGAGTATATTTTTTAAAGATCCACCCATCGATCCCAGATTTTTTTAACTCAAGATCCCACCGCCACTTTACATCTTTAGGTAAGTTTTTTAGACGATAACAAATACTACGCCATCTTTTAAGCGTACTCTTAGAACTAGAAAATTCTTGACTATTTCAAATTGGCTTTCAATGCAAAAAACAACAGAAGTTTAATCCATTTTTCCCTTAAAAGGAACGGTCATGAGTTGCTCTTACAAGCATGAATTCCTACCTGGTATTAGAAAGTCGTAGAACCAGGAGTCTGTACTTCTTAAAAAAAGGTAGCTTGGCTTTTTCTCGGACATTTTAAGGGATAGCGCAATATACGAAAACCAATTTTGGTAATGAAACTGCGAGCAAACTGTGAAATTTGACACCGACTTATGTCGTACTGTTCATACCTATGTCTTCCACTTGCCTACACACTTAGGATTCAAATTCTCTGATTTTACCACTCCTATTTCCTTTGCAGCTTCTATTTAAATTAAAACGTCAGTATCAAACTTCTGAAAATTCTGTAGGTATTTAATTTAGACACCCAAATTAGCAAACTTTATAGTTATCCCGTCGTTTCCATGTTTATTGTATTCAGTTCCAAACCTCATTTTATTTCGTGCGCCGTGTCCCATTTTTAATAAGAATGAAATATGCCATTGATTTTTTTCACTTTATTCACCTTATCTACCCTTACCGTTAAAGAGACACTTGGTCTTCTCATTTCAAACCTATAGGTATACTAAAATGTCAATAAAATAAACGGAATTAAATTAAAAATATTTATTAAAATGACATAAAATACGTATTAAATTAATTTGGCAAACAAATTTTTAAATTTCATACACATTAGTTTTTAAAATACAAATAGAGAGCCGCCAAAATAAAATATCGCATTTCGTAGTACCACAAAAAAACTAGTGAGACGGAAAATAATCAGGAATTTAATTACATCTATGAGTCATAACACAATTAGCAGTCCAAGATAAGAGGATCTATCATGCTGAAACCATCTAGAAGATACGACGATGGTCAAACTAAGCAAAAGCTGCGCAATTAAACAGTTATTGTCATGCTAGAAAATTCCTATATTTCCCAAGATATTCCAGAAAAACCGAAATTTGCCGACTTGGTTTTTTTCTGATGTTATTTGAACACTGAACAGATACAGCAGAAATAAAAAAAACACTTTCTCATTGCCACTTTTTTGCCTCGCATGTTCCTATTACGATCATGGTATGATACGTTAGTAGTGGGTATAGAGACCTTAAAGCAATGTTTTGCTACCAACTAAAACAAGGCACTGGTGGAGAGCCCCAATTAAAAATACCCTAAATGATCTTGAAAAAAAGATGCTGGTCATTCTGACAAAAATTCATTTAGGGAATACGATGATTCAACATGAATTAATTTATGGAATAGTGCAACATTAAGTAATCCTTCCATTTATATATCAGATTTAAGCAGTTAACGTCACATACAAATGTATTTGGATTTTGAATGAGGGATTGGGGTTATAGTCTCCAACACAAAATACCCAAACTATATACTCTCTACCCCAGTAAAACACATAACTTCAATGATTTTCGTTCCTTCTGGCTTCTGTCCGTTATTTTACCGATAACCGCGCAATGTGAAGTCGCCCGAGGGTACAAACATCAGTTTATGCCCGTGGTATGTACATACAAAATTTTATGTCTTACAAATAGTTTTCTTCGTCAAAGTAAATATTCGTTTACAAAATAATTCATTATGTTTGATCAAGTATGCCTTGTTAGAATTTGTTAATGTGATTGAAACCATCCAAACGTCAAACGTAATTTTAAATAATTCAATTCATTGTGAATTAGGAAGAAGTTAAAAAACTATACGAAATAAGGAAAATCTTGTGATTTAGTAGGTACTGACAATTAATAATTGACGTTTCTAATTTTCAATAACCTGTAGATATTTGTTTGTATTGTCATTAAGTATAAATGAGTTAGTATGGTGCTACTCAGGGACGTAACTAGGTACCCGCAGCTACAGCGACTGCGGGGGGGCCCCAGAGTGCTGGGGCCCCCAACTAATCTCCTTATTTGAGTATTCTCAACTTCTGCTAGATGCGACAGGGAAAATATATTGTGTTTCGTTTAAGTAGGTACATAATTATTAGGATTGACGGAAAAAGTAATAGCCTATAAATTTAAGTAAATTGACCTTTACAAACGGTGATGTCTACTTCCAGTTATAATCTAGAGATATGCACCCCTGGTAAGATGAACTTTATTTATATTTATAGTAATTAGTATAAATATTGGTTCAACTGTTAGGCACTGCCTTTTTGTTTAGGGACTTGGGGAGAGGGCCAATAAAAATTTTTGCGGGGGGGCCTCAAAATTATAGTTACGTCGCTGGTGCTACTTAATGCCCTAGGGCATAAAGTGGTACTTTATCACTTTATGCCCGCGTATCACAGATATAAAATATGCTATGATAGGTTAGTAAGCCATAAAATAATAAAATATAGGTGCCTTGAATGCTAAAGGCTTAAAATGAGTATTTTTTGCATTACTTTTGTACGCTACACCATACCATAGCATTACATACAGGGTGACAATTTGAAAACTTACCACCCCCCATATCTTAGTAAATAAACGAGATATTTAAAAAAATCAAAATCCGTTTCGGTAACTCGGAGGGGGAATCAAAATGACATAGTTGGCGACGCACCCCCTCACACCCCCTGCGCCCTAGCCACCCCAACTTTTAAATCTTAAATAGTAACCCCCCATGTGTGATACGTCGTTGGAAAGCTCTGAAAAAATGCTTTCCAACCATACCAAATAGCATTACTTACTAATTATCGTGCAAATTAAAAAATCAACTAATATGATACATTTTCTAAAGTTGGCCTTTATTTCAATAAATGTTCAAAATGTTTTCAGTTATTGGTAAGACAGTATTACTATGCGATCAAAAATGAGTTGCTGTCGAGTCGCCCTTTGAAATGTTTGTTTACATGGAAAATCGTATTTAACTTGAACTTCCAAAGCCGACTCGACAGCAACTCATTTTTGATCGCCAGTTATAATCTATTCTCAAACTCGTGCTGAACCTTTTCAAATGTTGATTTTGCAATATTTCGAGATTCTTGAATTATTCCCTGTCTTAGTTGGTCTATGTTCGCCGGTTGCGTTATAAATACGACAGATTTCAAATGTATCATATTAGTTAATTTTTTGATTTGCACGATAATTACTAACCTAAATGTAATGCCATTTGGTATGGTTGGAAAGCATTTTTTCAGAGCTTTCCAACGACGTATCACACATGGGGGGTCACTATTTAAGATTTAAAAGTTGGGGTGGCTGGGGCGCAGGGGGTTGGAGGGGGTGCGTCGCCAACTATGTCATTGTGAATATTGTGATTCCCCCTCCGAATTACCGAAACGGATTTTGATTTTTTTAAATATCTCGTTTATTTACTAAGATATGGGGGGTGGTAAGTTTTCAAATTGTCACCCTGTATAAACACTGGAGTGTGGCGCGTTTTTAACTATTTTAAAATGCTAGTCATTATGAAGTATCAAACCCATTATGCTGCACTTTATAAAATAGTACTTTTTATCCTGCTAGACCTGTTAACACAGTAACTAAATGACTAATTTTGGGATTCTGTATTCAGCAATACACGGTGTAAATTCGCCACTTGAAGAAATGTGCAGATGATCCTCATCAGAAAAGTTTTTGGCAATGTTTGGATCAAAAGCAGTTCTGGTCTCACAAAAAACTATACCCTCTTAATAAGGCAGAAAAATAGTGCAAAATGTTTGAAAAATCATATTTCAATTTTAAAATTGTCTTAATGTTTTACAAATCCTTTGAAGATTGAACTTATCTACTTACATAACCATCTGTTCTATTTTAAATTTACAAAAAAAAAGAGAAGCAATTACAGTAAGACAAACAGAAATTAATACAACTGTTTTTTAGGGCGAATTAGAAATATCCATATTATCCGACTTTTCTGGAGAGTCTTTATCACGTTCAAAATCATATGGATCTCCATAATCTCGCCTTTTACCACGCTCGGAATCATAACCCCTTTCTTCTTCATCATAGTTACGCGACGATTTGGGAAGTGATGGAGAACGTTCCTTTCTCTCTTTTCTATCACGCTTATCCCTCTTCTGGTCTCTGTCTCTACTTTTTGTTCTGCTGCGTCTACGTAATGGGCGTGGTGATGGAGAATGGCGCCGACCTCTTGAACGAGATCTGCGATCACGTGATCTACTTCTGATTTTACGATCACGTGAATGAGAACGGAATTTTCCTCGCACTGGGGATAAAGATCTCTTCTTGCTTGAACGTTTCTCTTCCATCTCTACTGGGCCATCTTTCTCGCTTCTTTTCTCTTTCAATTCATTGTCTCTATCTCTAGATTTCCGATCCCGTTCACGAGACCGATCTCGATCCCTGGACAACTGGCTGCGTTTTTCTTTTTCCTTGGACTTATCTCTAGACTTCCCTCTTTCCTTACTCTTATGCCGATTTCGCTCACCACGTGATGTACGAGAACGAGACTTTGAACGTGACTTACGCGATTTGGAATTGCGAGACTGTGATCTACGGGAACGTGACCTCGATCGACGTCTTGATTTGGATTTTGAGCGATGCTTTCTATCTTTAGATTTAGATCGTCGGGAATGTGATCTAGAACGACGAGAACGTTGACGTGATCTTGATCTTCGAGATCGCGACCGTGTACGAGATCGCCGCCTGCGGCCACGAGATCGTGATCTGGAACGCCTAGAACTTCGCTTATCCTTAGATAGCATTCCAATTACAGGATCGATGGTTGCCGAAATTAAGTTTTGCGCTTCTTTAACTCGAGACATGGCTTCTTCGATTTCTCTTTGAGCTGCCTCATTACTTTTAGCTTGTGGTTTAACTATCGCCTGTGTTGCGTGTACTATTCTTACAGTTTGACCCTTAAATTCCTTTCCGTTCATTTTGAGAACCTCGATAATACTCGGTTGGTCATTAAACTCTAGCAACATATGCGCATTACTATCGGAAGCACGAGTACACTGTCGGAGATATTTCACCTCACCAGCAGATGTAAAAAAGTCAATGTATTCCTCCGTTGGCGTTGAGGGATCAACATTGACCATTAAAACTGTACGTCTGATTTCCTCAATTTTATTGCTGTCATAATTTGCTGGCAAAGGTGGATATGGAGGTAAGCCGTTAGCTTCCAACTTTGGGTCGTAAGTGATAATAACCTGGCCCGCTCCTAGGTTTGTAATAGTATTCACAACATGAGGGGGTAAGTTGGGCTCTGCTGCACAAAGACCTGGAACAATTGTACCATTCCTGGTCATTTCTAATGCAAAATACTCATCGGGAATGTCACCATTTTGCACTGGTATAACAATTAGTGCTCTGTCGATAAAAACTGTATTTGTCATGTGCTGTGCAATACCAACTGTGACCGATTCCATAAACTTAATGTAACATATTCTTGATTGCACCGGACAGGAAACATCTCGAATAGTGGGATACAATCGAATATCATCGATTTTTCCAAGATAACCAAACAAAGTTTGCATTTGATCTTTTGTCGCTTGAGGAGCGATATTGGTCACTTGAACCACTTTTGTCCCTCCTATAGCCATTTCGACGTTTAGATTCACTAAATTCACTTAATTAAATATAATTTGCCATTAAAAGCATTTACCGCATAATATACAACAACGTATAGTATCAAAGCACAAAGATGAAATGTAATTGACAGTTTAAAGTGTCTACTGGACCGGCGCGTGGTTTCAGGTATGAGGCGCTTTCTTTCGGTTACTTCGCAATCATGATTTCGAGATCGTGATTCGTAGGATCACGTTTTGCGAAAGAACCCGCGAATTTAAATCAAAGTATGGTTAAGTTTACGTAGTACAAATTTGCATTCTAATTACGTATTTTTTGTTTGAATTATGAAATAATTTAAATACAAGAGTGGAAGTACTTGCACGATTATGCGCGTTTGGATCACCGAAAGAAAGCGGCTTTGGCCACAGAATATAGTGTATGCTATGCAGAAATTTAACTCGTCGATTTTCTGTCACATTTCGCGCATGAATTTGGTAATGCCTCTGAGGCGCTTTCTTTCGGTGATCCAAACGCGTTTGGATTGTCAAATCACGTTCTTTCGAAGTGTGATCTTATAATCATGATTGCTAAAATCGTGAACAAACTGAACATAAAAGTTTTATGATTAAGAATTTCTAACCTATAAATGCAAGGATATTTTTACTCAAGTGTTAGGTTAGTCAATATTTGTAATTGAAGAGGAGCATAATCGTGCAAGTACTTCCACTTGTATTTAAATTATTTTTATAATCCAAACAAAAAATACGTAATTCGAATGCAAATGTGTACTACGTAAACTTAACCATACTTTGATTTAAATTTACGCGTTCTTTCGTAAAACGTGATTCTACGAATCACGATTTTGAAATCATGATCGCGAAATAGCCGAAAGAACGCGCCTGTTTCTTTCATATACAGGGTGGTGACTTGCGTAACGCATCATAGCATTGAATTTATAGTTATAAATTCAATGATCATAGGGATTTCAATGTAAAATTCATAACATGCGATTATTGGCTCCCCAAATTATGTTAGAGCAAAAATGTATTAAGGTTTTTTGTAGACAAATTTTTTTTACGCCAATCAACCGTATTACATTCATACCTAGGCGATCATAGAAGTGACGTTAATTGAATGAATTGTATTTTGACGAAATAGTTAGAAAATTTATCTTTAACATACATTTGTATTATACCATAGAGTAAATACAATATTATATTATATACCATTCCCATTTAAATATATAGCATCACAGCTAGCATTAGAGCTTGAGCAACTTAAATAACACTTATTTATCTGAGTTTTAAGAATTTATTTAGTTTGAGCAAATATCAGTGTGATCTTTAATTTGAGATAGCAATCATGTCCAATCCTACTCTATATAGTGTCTTCCTACATGATGATGTTCACGATTTCATATTTCATAAAAGATCCCCTTTGAATTCCATTACTAATGGGGCTAATGGACCATTAGCGGTTAATAATAGGCGTTCCGTCAGATCGCTTGTATTTAGTAGTATGTATGGATTGTATTGTAAAAATTACTTCGAAAGTAGGCAACTTATCCAATATATATTAAGGAAACCAAAAAAAAAACTTTATAATTATATTAAATAACATTAACAAAAGATCAATAACAGAACACCAATCCTACTTCTGCACAGGACCATATTTGAGTTTATTTTTATACCTTTTGGGATTAATGCCAAATGCAAGAAGACGAGCATCAGAAATCCCAACATCCTTTTCTGTCATTTTGTTCTTTCTCTTCTTCTTATTCAATTTGTTATTTCTGTTTTCTTGCTTAACTGCACTACTTTTCAACTCCATCTTTGTCGTTTTTGAAATCTCTTCAGGGTTGACACTTTCTGCTTCACTTCTTTCTCTTTTAATTGTTGTTTCCCCACTTTCTGAATTAATAACACCCTCATCACCAGTGTTCAATTTCCTCTTCTTCTTTTTAGTTTTTTTCTCTGCACTCTCTGAACTTACAATGCTTTGACTTGGACTTTCTACAGCTTCATTACATTCAGGTTCCTTTGGCATTTTCATATTGTTTGTTATCGCACTGGAACTGGGTCTGACGTCATCGACTTCCTCTTCCCCAAACAAACTGGGTAAAAATTTCCTTTTGAGGTGTTCATTTTGTCCTTTCTTCCGAAATGCCACAATATCATACTTTTCAACATGCTCTGGTCGATATTGTACAGCTTTCTTTAACGAGTTCCAACGATTCAATTCTTTATCTTTTGCCATTAATATCTTGAATAAATTAGTTTGAAACAAAAACTACTAATTAAACACTCACCTCTTCTACACTTAAACCAAAATCATTTGGAACAACACTTCTGTATTTAAAGCGACAAGGAACATCACCTATGACATCCTCGCAATCCAATTTGTAGTACTCGTCAAGATACTCTTGATAAGTTTTACTGCTTGGATTAAAAATGGGCTTTGGTTCGCTGACAAGTTTTGCAAACTTACTTTTGCGTCTCTGTCTTTTCTTCTTTCTTGAATTATGAATCAACTCCTTAGAATGTGCTGCGGGATCGTAATCACAATCCATCTAAATTGAGTAATTTACATGTATCGATACAATAAAAAATACCTACATTAAAATTTTCGTCTTCACAATGTGGCTCCTTTTCCTCCACCTCTCTTTGCCCCCCTTCCTTGGGTTCACTATTTCCGCGCCATTCGTCCCATTTTTCTAGAACAACAGAAATAAATCTGTCTGAATATGATGCATTCTAAATTACCAATTTCCAATTCTTCGTCTAATTCCGGAAATTCAGGTTTTGCATCACCCTCTGGCACACTGTAAAATTCGTTATTAAATAATTCTTGCATACGTTGGTCATGGGCATTTGGATCGAAATCCTCATCGAGATCTTTCAACTAAAAGTCAAGATTGTGGAAAAGTGAATAACATTAAAGCCCTCACATCAAATCCTATGTCGTCGTTACCCGTCACCTCCTGTAATTTTTTTATCTTTTCGAAGATCTCTTGCTTCTTTAATGCCTTCAACTGTTTCATTTCTTCCATTTTTTCCTTTTTCTCTTCTATCTTTCGTTCCTTTCGTTCTACTCGTTTTACTTTTCTTTTGTCGTCTTTTTTCCTTAAGGATTGTTCCATAGTACGAGGGTAACGTTTGATCTGAAATCTTTACTATAAATACGAGTGCATATTTGCAAAAAAACTGCACATAAATTCAGCAGTATCAAAACAAGACATTAAAAAAGAGCATGTGATCACCCTAGGTTTACCTTGGTTACGTGACTGACCCTACCTTTAATTAAATTTTCGGAACTAGAAAAAACAAGAGGTTGCAGTGTTTAAGGTTCAAGGTAAGTGGCATTGTGTTCAAATGCCAACTGCAAATAAAAAGCAAACTCCTGGAAAGTCAAGTTCTCTCTACTGTTTCCACCTGTGATAAAACATAAGATACTTACAAAGTCTTGATCAGGTTCTTCATAACGAAAATTATATTTATGCTCAAATTCTTCTTGGGTACTTAAAGCTTTTTCATCCTCAGACAAACCCTCATCAGAGTCGTGCACCACCTCATCGTAAGTAGGTATATAATCATTATCTTCCGCTTCTAAAAACCTAAAAGATTTTGAGGTCTTAGCAACATTTCCAAATAGACTGTCACCTGTTATTTAGGATGTAGTCCCTAAGAAATTTTTCATCTTTGTCTAGCTTTGGATCAGTCCAAAATTCTTTTAGTGGCTTCAGCTCGGTTTCGTCTTTTGTTGTTTCCAAATGTTCCTTTTGACCAGTTAACCAGAGCTTGTATTCGTCTTCCTCTTTTCCGGCTTCTTCCGCAGTCTTCTTGCGTGATTTAAAAATCCCACCCCACTCCTCGGTCTCGCCATTATCGTCGTCAACATTGTTTAACACCTTCTTTAAATCCTCCTTTAATTGCATTTGCTCATCATTATAGGCCAAAGATCTGTCAAAGTTAAGTTAATCTCAATGCGAATACATAAATATATTACTCTTGATCATGGTTTCCTTCTTCTTCATCACTTAGTTGACCGCCTTTCTCTAAAAGTAATTTCCGCTCGTAATCTTTTATTGTCAAACCAGGTTCTTTAGTCTTCTTTTTCACTTTCACGCTACTCTCTGCATTAGTAAAGCAATCAAAGTTGTTATCATAAATCCTGGGATCTTTATTCTTTAAATACGAAAGCGTCTTGAAAAAATCTTGCTCAAATTTTTCATTAATTTCGGGTTCGTCATCGTCGTCACTGGAACTGCTCGAGCTGTCACTTTCGTTTTTATATTTCATGTGCACTGCAAAAATAAATTTGGAGTAGTTTCTGCATTGTAAAGGGCGAGTATTCAATACGAACATTTGTGCAGTTCTTCCTTCTGCCTCCAAGCATCATAATTTTTGGCGTATTCGGAATTAGTTTTTACATCAACCTCGGAATCAGAACTGTCGTCATTAAAGAGCTTCGACATGATTTATTGTTAGGTATAGACAAACGTAATAAAAATGTTTAGTCCCTATAAAAGACGCATTACGTTTTAAGATACGAGTAAAAAGTTTTAAGGTTAGGTTGTGTCATGTGGTTAATTGCTGTGGCTCATCTCACGACAACTTTTGAAGTTTTTATTGTGGCTACGTAGAAACTGAGCTAAATAGCAGGCGCTTTCTTTCGGCTACTTCGCAATCATGATTTCGAGATCGTGATTCGTAGGATCACGTTTTACGAAAGAACGCGCGAATTTGAATCAAAGTTTGGTTAAGTTTACGTAGCGCACATTTGCATTCGAATTACGTATTTTTTGTTTGGATTATGAAAATAATTTAAATTTAAATACAAGTGGAAGCACGTGCACGATTATGCTATACAAATATTGACTAATCTAACATTTGAGCAAAAATATCCTTGCATTTATAGGTTAGGAATTCGTGTCAAAATACTTTTATGTTCAGTTTGTTCACGATTTTAGCAATCATGATTATAAGATCACACTTCGAAAGAACGTGATTTGACAATCCAAACGCGTTTGGATCACCGAAAGAAAGCGCCTAGCATACCGCCAAGTTCATATACATACAAGGTGGTAACCTTATTGTAGCATGATGATACTACCCGCATCAAAAGTACCCCAAAAATCATAGAAAATACCTAACAGTAGAACGTCCTTATCAAGCGGCACTAAATAAAACGATGTTATAAAATCCAGGAATTTACTTACAATATGCACAATGAATAAATATCCTGTCTTCGATGTGAGCGGTGAATTGAATCGCAATGCCCTGGCAGCGGCGGCGGTGATGACCAGACCGGATCTCAATATGCCACATACGTAGAATACACAGATTCAATATGCAATGGCTATCCACATTACTTACATCAACATTTGGTAAATAGATATAGCATTCGCTTCAAAAGCTGATTGAGCAAGCACAACTGAATCATTGTTCTTTTTTTGTAACAATTAACAAATGCAACACATTGGAACATTAAGGGCCGGTATTATAAAAGTACAGTTCAAGCGGAGATTAATCAAACGGCGATTGAACGTCAAACCAAGATTGAGAGCGGTTGAGTATTATAAACACCTTGGGAAGAGCGTTTGGTTAAAGTAGTTAGAGCGCCTAGGTAAAAGTAACAAGAAGTTGGTGAAAATTTGGTCACTTATTCTCTGAGAGACGCACTTTCTAATGGTCAAAAGAAAAAAGTGTTCCTATGTGCCGTTTCTGAGATATTTGACAGTAAAAACAGGGTATTTTAACATGGGCCCTTATGGACAGACTCAGTTTTTCTGAGCTAGTGAAGGTTTTTGTATCAAGACTTAAACGAGATGGGTCTCATTAGAAGCGAAATTTTGTGACGAATCTAAATATGCACGGAAAAGTACATGTTCATGATGAAATAAGGAAGATATTTACCGCCGAAGCGGCGTCTGCTCTGACGCGGCGGCACGCTATGCAACACGCGTTTAAATCTGATGACTTTTCCACTAGGTCTAGTATATAGCTGAGCTAGGACAATCTTTTCCTTCTTCTGCTGAGCACTTTTCTTCACAAAAGGCATCGTGTCTTTCAGAAAGAACACCAAAACCAGCGATATTTATAAAGGCCTGCACACGTCTTGTTGACACACTGATCGGATCGAGATCAAGATAGCGGCTGGGGATCTCTGTCGCCAACATCGAAAAATCAAATCCACTACACCGACTTCACGCAAAACGCCAAATTATTTAGTTTCCCGGCTTTTACATACGTCTCGCATACGTTTTGATTAAGAATAAATATATTCGTTTAGGATTTACCGCTTACACTGTGAATATTTAGTCGCGGTGTGTCGTCAACATTTAGTGTGCAAAGGTTTGAAACAGGGTCGAAAAGTACGGACACTAGTCAAGTTGACTACTATATATACCTTTTTAAAAATCATATAAGACGTTTGCATTGTGCTGAGGTCCAAAATACCACTCATACCGTATTTCTAATTATGTTTCCTTCATAACAACATTTTTTTGGGGACGTTTACCGTAAGTAATAGGTAGGCCGAGTACATCACTTGACTTCAGCCGAACGCGCTCTAACTACTTTAATCTCCGTTTGAGCTTACGATCCCTAGGATGGTAACACTGCGGGCGAACCGAGGACCAATCAGAGCGCAGAATTTTCAGTGGCCGATGCGTCAGCTGACAGTGACAGCTGATGACGTTTACGTTCTTCGCACCCATCGCGCCCGCGCCGTTCGTTCGCTTTTGTGCCATTTGCCCCTGCCACTGTAACTGTGCTGATCTGTTCATCCCCTTGCTAAATCGTTTTACATAGCGCTGTTTTGCCTGCCACTGTGCCAAGACAAGTCATATTTACATATAATTGAAAATAAACGGGCGGACGCCTCTACTACCAAGAACAAGGTAAAGCATCAGGATGTCATCAGTTGTGTTTTTTGTTTGCATCTATATCCCTAATCATTCTGTGTTTATACACCCTCGCATGGAAGAAAATTGCAGAGAAGTATAACGCTGCATTGACTGAGCCACATTTGAGTAACTGAAGACAAAATATGATCTAGCACCTTACTGGTAATGAAGCTAGAGCTGGTGACGACAGCCTCACCATTGATGGGCTATTATTAATTAATTAACACACCCAGTTGCGTAAATTCGCAAAAATAATAGAATTTCCATAGAAAAGCACAAACCTACTTGTTTGTTTGGGGGACAATTTAGCGAGCAATTTAGTGCTTGAATCCTGTTTTATGGGGATCTAACAGTATCCTTGGATAACCGAAATCTCTGCCAAAATTCCTCTTCATATCACTTGCCGAAATGTTCAACACCTTCTCTAAAATTTCTGCTCTTCTTCTAATGAACTCATCCTCTGATGAAGAGTCATCGTCGCTTACTGCCCACAGTAACCGATCTCTTGCACGTCCAATTTCAATTATTTCCATTTCGTTATAAATATTAAATGACAAAACAAAATAAACTGGTTACAGTTTTTTACACGTGCGCGCGCCTAATCTCCGTTTGGACGCCAAAATCCGAGAAAATTGGCGGGTTGACTTCAATCGGAGATTGAGCTCTGGTTACGACTTAAACTGCGTTTATAATACGCGCAATCGCACTCAAACTACGATTGAACGCCAATCTCCGTTCAAGCGGGCTTTATAATACCGGCCCTTAGTATTTTACAATTGATAATGCATTTGTGGATACTTTTGAATTTAACTATATGAAAAACTGGCTCTGCGTACCTACTACTACTTATGTGAAACTTAACAGTGTTCGACAAAAGGCCGTGGTTTATTTGAAAGAGAATGGGGCCTCGTGATTTTTTTCCGGCCCAGCATTAACATTATTACGAGGAAAACACGCTCCCGTAGTTCATGTTTGCATAATGACTTTTTAACTTAATCTTAATCTTTTGCCTGCACACAAAGTGAAATCAGTTAATTTTAAATAAACATTCCCTTTTCGCCCCTATTCCTCCTTCACAAAATTATACTGTAAAAAGTTTCATTATTAGTCATAATTTTATGTATTAATTTTTTATGTGAATAATAATACTTACTGTTATTTATAATAGCCTGTAATGTAATTTTCTATTGTCCACCAATACAGTAGCGCCACCATGCTGCAATTATCTTCTGACATCAAACATAAAATTAAAGACGATAAATTATATTTGAGATTTATTAACAAAACTAAAAAAAGGCAAAGATGTAACGTTTTACAAATCCATACATGTAGCGAAATAATGAATAAAAATCTAATTCGTCATGGTATAATATTCAGTTACTTAGTTGTCCGCTTTATCGAATACAAACAAAAAAATGAATGAAAAATGTTTATTTTCAAATTTTATAGTTTGTTTTTAATAAAGGAGCGATTAAATTATGTGTGTGAGTAGTGACAGGATATCGCAAATAATTTTGATACCTGTCGCACGAATATGTGTGAATATAAAATTTCTTTATACTAAAACAGAATGTTAACTTATGAATATACCACGAAGAATGTTACAAAATGTACAATTTGTACCTGTAACTTGTAAACAATTTTTCTAATTACAGCCACTCCATTAAAACTGGAATGAAGTAAATAAGTGATAAAATTCAAAACTTTTAAATTTGAATTATTACTGTTGAGAAAGTTTACATTAAAAAATACACAGTACCTACTAGGCTTAAAACTTCAGTCTACTACAATAATATTATTATCTATGACTTTAAAAGACATTAGCCTTTACACTATTTACAATAAAATAAATCATTTACAACACGTTTGCATTGCAAAACAGCCGTGGATCTAGAAACAAAGTCACTGGGTTACAATGGCGGTGCGCACTAATTACAAGACACAGACTATGGAATGCTCGAGTCACTACACTGACACTGGCAGAGCTCTAGAGTTTATCGCCTCTCACTTCGGTGGGTACGGATTAATCACAGTAACTGCAGCTGCTTGTTGACTCGCTAATACTGCGGCTAAAAAAAATTCAACTTTACAAACTTGCGATTCCAAATTCAGGAGAAATGTAAACCCAAAAAAAAAAGAACAGTAAAAGATAAACATGCAAATTACTTCATTTTAGTATTTCCAAGAAAAGCCAAATCTACAACACAGGCAGAATAGGTTTATTACAAGTTAGTATAAGATAACATTTGAGTTGTTTAATTTACTAGTGACATAGTATTTTTGTGGTGACAAATGTGTACCAAGATGAGAGGACTCGCAATAAAAAATAAATTCAATGATCTCCAAGCCCAAAGAAATACACAGAGACCAATCGTAAACAACTATATTCTCATGATCAGCATTTGTGTAAACTACGTCTTACAGTTTGCTTTCAGCACCTACAGTAATGTTGCGTCACCCTGTATTAGTCAAATTTCAATTATTTGTAACGTTCAATGTGGTTGTTATTTGAGATTGAACACTATCTCGATCATGTCATTTGAATTTGAACTAATTGTGATTTTATCACTTTGTCACAATTATTTGTTTAAATTAAATAATCGCATTGTATTTTGATTTTATTTTATTGTTCATTTAGAAAAATTAAGGACATTTGGAAATAACGTATTGTTAAAGTTATCTCATTTAGATCCTGTCGTGGCGATAAGAAATTTATCGCTGCGTAAGAGAATTAAGTAGTTGGCAGATAAGGTGTTTAATTTCGGAGATACAGGGTGTTCTTTACGGAAACCATTGAATGCCCCCCACCACTTCATTTTTAGAGATACAGGAAAAATTGTCAAACAAAAATTGTTCAGATTATCGTTGACTTCAAAGACCGGGTATCTTTTTGTTAGGTTAATATAGCGGAATTCACAGAAACATCACTTTTTTAGATTCCAGATTGCAGTTACGCCCCCTAGCGGTCATTTCAGAAACTTAAAAATATTTTCCAGGTTTTTCTCGTGGCCGTTTTAGTAATAAATTTTTTACCGCAAGCCTCTACGATAGACAGGTTCTCAGATACAGTACCTCGCATTCTTATTTAGCCACCCTGTACATACATATACAGGGTTTGTATAAATCCATTATTGATTTGTACCACCATTGGAAATTGGAAACTGCATCACGATAATGCACCCGCCTCCCCAGCCCCCCTACAGTCCTACATAAATGCAGCAAATGAGGCGTTGGTCAGGGACGGACTTAATAAATTAAAGGTAGGATTCACACATTGGTGTATGAGCTTTATTATGAATAATGAATATTAAGGCGCACGAAACTATGCGTTCGGATGTCAATTATTTGTAATTGGAATTAAGTTTGCCAATTACGCAAGCAGCTAGTAAATTATATTAGACTTTAATTCTTTTTGCTGATTTTTAATTTTATCACTATGAAAGTTGTGCTCCTTTAGATTGGTTGTAAAAGGTTTACTACAACTGCAGGTGAGAGCGAGGTTAAATAGTGTCTTAAATTTTGGTTGTGTAAGAATAAAACCTACGCTGAACTACGCCTATTTGAAAGACATTATTATATTCTGTAAACCGTAGGCCATTTCAACCCCTAACACTAGTCCGCGTTTCCGTGGTCACTAGGTTCCGAGTACTGCCATTTATGCGTTCATTCAAAATAGACCAAAAATTAAGGGCACAGTCAACGAAAAAGAAGTGAGAATAATCTCACCTCCTGACTTCACACTTACCGGGAAACATAAAATGGCATACAAAGCCAATAAAATCTGGTCCAAAAGATAGTCAGGCTGTTGGGTAGGTGTAGAGGTGGTGCTTGATAAGCATCCACCTAAATGATTGTCAGAAAATTCGGAACCATTGTCTACGTATGAAGAAACCTAACACGGTCTCAGTCACCCCAGGCGTTTTAACTTCACCCCAGCCACTACAGTTGTATAAATCAGTAATTTTCCTGTTTTTTTAAACAGAGATCAATGATCAAACAACATGCAAATCTACTATGAGATAAAGTAGCATAGATAAGAAGACGAAAATATATGATATGAGCAGAAAATCCAAGCAATACAGCTACATCCTGTTCTAAATCGTTAAATAATTTGAAATCTTACCTCCATAGGGAGCAGGATACATAGGATATCCCAACCCTACATGCGTATGGTGGTGTGTATGTACATGTCTTTGTGGAGGCGGAGACCGTGACTCTTTGTTCTCACCCGGCGTCTGCTTACCCCCCACCGCAATTGTCCCACTTGGTTGCGAAGTAACACAGCCCATCATTTGATTCTGAGTCTGTCCCGGCGTGGAACCGGCACTGCCAGACGGACTCGCGCTCGCTACCGACGTCTTCGGCGTGGGCGACTTTATGGCACGCTCCTGCAGTTCGTGAATCTTATGAGACGAGTAATACTGCGCGTGGTGCTGGAGCATATCGAGCGCTTTAGTAGGAGGCGGGGCTCTCGATAGATCTTCGGGCGCGTGATATCGAGGCATTTGGGGATGCATGTACGGATTCCCACTGTACGGACCTGGCACCATTATTCCACGGTACATCGGGTGATTGGGATCAAACGGTAATGGTCCGTAGTGAGGCGACTGCATGTAACTTGGATGGATGTAAGCGTATTGAGAAGTGGGGGGAGGTGGAGGTCCTTGAGTTTCCATTGTTGGCTTGACACCCTCGTGTTTCACTTCCTTCTCTTTTTTCTCCTCGATCTTTTCTTTGGATTTCAAGCTCGGTGCCGCAAGTGGCGGTCCTTTACTCATTGGAACTTTCGGTTCGAGCACTTGCTCTTTGCGCCTTTGATCTGAATATCCATAAAATCGTCGCATATCGTCTTCTCTCTGACTGTGTTGCGTTTGTTGCTGTCTCGAATACATGTACGGACTCATTTGCGTCTTGATCTCTATACTTTCCTTTAATATTTGGTGATTTTCGTTTTGTTGTTTCTCTTTAAGCGTTATTTCGTTCTTTAATTTGCCAGGTGTTGGTACTTGTATAGGATTAGGAATGGGCGCCGTTTGTTTGACGGTGTGATCTGCAGGACTTGGACTTTCCTTCACTCGCTCTTCTTTATTTTTGTCATCTTGAACAATGGGGACCGATCCAAAATTCGGGTCCATATTATATGGATAACCGGGAACATATCCGTAGGGATTGTAATAATGCTGTGGCATAACCTTCTGCGGATATTCCGAAGCTTCCTTTTTGATTTCTTTCTCCGCAATCTTTTCTATTACTTTCTCAGGCTCCTTTGTTTTCGTAGGATCCTGAGACTGCTGCTGAACAGAGGACATCATATATGGAGGTTGCCCATAGAAAGGATACATTCCGTACTGAGGTAGATGGGATAAAGGCTGACCGGTTTCATTCTTTTTGTCCGAACCTTTAGTTTTATCTCCCAAGTCTGTTTCTATCACAGGTGCGCCATCGTCAGATATATCCGAGTATGCCGGACTTTGAACTTCATCTCTGCCAGAGGGTTCCATGCCAAACACCTGCTGCTCGTTTAGGGGCGGATGTGGACTACCGGCTGGAGATTTTCTGCTTTTCTTCTTGTAGTTGGTTAGTTTATTTCGTTCCTTTTTATCGTCGGGCATCAAAGCGGATGCGGGTTTAACTTTAAACTGTGTAATTTTCGCCGGATCGGAAGGACTAGGTGGTTCCACGTCGCAAATTTGTGACGCATTTTGAGTTAACGCCTGTGGAGCTTGAGTCGGTATTAAAAGTGTTGACGGTTGCTCGAAAATCTGCGGAGACATCGTTTGAGGTTGCAGTTGATTGGCAAACGTTTGCAATGGAACATTTGTTTCCGGTTGTTGCATTGTTGTTTGATCTGTAGGTATGGAAACGTTAACTGCTCGAACGGACGTTAGTGGTGTTCCTGAAAGAAAATAACAATATACAATAACTGTAAAGTCAACTCGACCCACTTTAAATTTTTACAAAAGATTTATTGCAAAGGCTTGTTCAGTGTTTGTTTAATGCATTAAGGTTTATTTCGCTATAATAGCGCTTATTAGATCAGATCTTCTAACTTAAATGACCTACTCGACTCAATTGACATACATAAATTTGATCGTTGACTCTGACATCCTCATTGACATGTAAATCAACATTTCAAACTACGCACAGAACTTTGCAAGAAAATTTTGAAGAATTATGTAACCAAAGTATAAGAAATTTCCCAGAAAAGGTCAAGACCATTTACAAAAGATGCAGTTAATTTATAAATTGGTAGTCAAACAAACCTTTTTCTCAATGAGTGCGATAATCATGAGACCCAAAGCAAATTTTTTAAAACATTATTCCCCATTCGATTGTCAAACAATTACTATTACCTAGGCAACTATAAACATTAAAAACATGGGTGCAGTTATCTTGAAGCTGACTGCGGCAACAGTTTTTATAGAACAACTTCAAAACAGCAGCCTAACAAATAACAAAAATAAGGCAAAATGGGTTGAGGCAACTTCACAGAAATCAATATAAACGTGCACCGAAACTGAGCAAGTTAAAGTACAAAAGTTAACATGTACATACCAGTAACTAGCGACTTGTTAGCGGAAAAGACTCCCATTGTAAATTCTTCCGTAGAGTTATATCGTAGAACACTCGCTTTCACAACACTTTTTGTTTCTATCAAATTCATAGTTGGAGATTCTACCGATGCCGACATATCTTGCAAACTTTGGGGAGTTTCTGGAGATGGTGGTGTGCTTCGTGGTGTTCCAGGCTGACTAGGAACCTCCAATAGGCTCGTGCTTCGCATCAAGTCATCTTTCTTTTGAGGCGTCAAGGGACTATCTTGACTTTTATCTGGAGATTTTACAGGAGTTATGGGACTTGGTGCGTCTATATTCGATTCGTCGTTTTCAGACATTGAAGTGATATCTTTGGTATCGTCATCGTCGGCCGACCCGTGGGCGTGAGATTGGTGATATTTAAGTCCATTGATATGTTTGTACTTTTTCGAACAGTTCGGTTCTGGGCACTCTAATAGAATAGGTGAAGGCGGTGGACTTCCTGAGGAATTCGAAGTAGATTGCGGAAGAGGTTTCGGTTTTTTACTACTGCCATTGCTCGGCGGTTCCTCTTCGCCCGTTCGATTTTTCCTCTTTGTATTTGGTTCGGGTCGAGGAGGCACAAATGGCGTCGGTGATGACGGTGCTGTAGATGGTCCGGATCCGTTCGCAGCGCCGCGACGCCCTTTTATCCCGCCATTCCTCAACTTACTATGTACTGAAGATCGAGTCTCTGTGAAGTTGCTGAGATCAGTGCTGGGAGATGTACCAGCGGCCCGCCCTCTCTTACCTCGTCCTTTAGGGGTCCTGGAATCCAAATCACTTGTAGGAGAATCACAGAATCTGCAAATAAATGATTTGTATATGATCTCAATAACTAACTTTCATGCATTAAATGACAGTGTAACTCACCTAGGAGGTGCCCAGTCATGGCGCGTACAGTCTAATAAAGTTCCTACATATGTTTTGCCTCTCCACGTTACATTCACAACTAGGACACCTGAAATACAAAGAACGCATGATAATATGACTCAGAAACTTGCATTGTTCAATTTCATAACTGATGTTTTATTCCGCATGTAATTTTACAGTTTTTTCACAAGAATAAAGGTAATGAAATTAATGTTTTTGTAATTACTTATCGCTGTGTTCTGCGAATAGTAGGTAATTTGTCTATTGTTATTTTTTCATCAAGTATTTATTACACGCCAAAGGCATTACAGAGAAAAAGCTATACAAGGTATCCCAATGCATTGTTTTACAAAGTGAGTGTAACTCGCCGACATATCTTTCAATATACAGTACAAACTACAGCAACCGCGCCAAAAAAGCAAAACCGAACGCAGTCTTCAATGGGTACCTAATAAGAGATAGGCTGTGGTATTTTGCACGTCATTGTAAAAACGGTACATTTAGAAGGTTCTCATAATGGGGACCTCTTTGCTTTCACTTAGGTAATACAATCATCGTATCTATCCATCATGGTGCATCCTAAAACACTGCACTAATCAGTGTAATATCCACTACACCAAAGCGGCAGGACAGTACAATGTGATTGAAGATCTCGTTGAAGATGCTTTGACGGCTTATCGGCGACATGACTAGTCAAGAAATAATGGAATGAATCATCCAGCAGCCCTTGGACTTGATCTGTGACACTAGTGAACAAGTTAAAAAGTAATCGTAAACGATTTACATAAAGCGCATTTCCACTTGCATTCATTTCCCATTTGTAAGATGCAACTTCTGTAAAAATCGTAAAAATCCGGCCACAAATATGAAAGATAGCGTTGCACATGGGCAATCCATTGTTGACGTGCTACTTCAATTTCAGTTTATGAGAAGAATTTCATTTGAATGCTTTTCTAAATAAGAAAGTTGGAACTGCGCATGCGCAAACCTAAATTTTAAAACTAATGTTAGATTTTCCTTTGTTCCAAGCGCCTAAGTATCAAATTTCACTTAAATGGTTCCATAGATAAAAAAAAGTTGGCACTGCGCATGCGCAAAATAAAATTTTGAAACTGGCGCTAGATTTTCCTTTATTCCAAGTGCCTATGTATCACATTTCATTTAAATTCTTCCATAAATAAAAAAAGTTGGCACTGCGCATGCGCAAAACCAAATTTTGAAATTGGCGTTTGATTTTCCTTTATCCCAAGTGCTTATGTATCAAATTTCGTTTAAATTCTTCCATAAATAAAAAAGTTGGCACTGCGCATGCGCAAAACCAAATTTTGAACTTGGCGTTTGATTTTCCTTTATTCGAAGTGCCTATGTATCAAATTTCATTCAAATACTTTTATAAGTAAAAAAGTTTGCAATTCGGTTTATAAATGGTCGAGATGCGAAAAGGGCACCGTGAATTTTGAATCGATTCGATCCAACTTTTGGCATTGCGTATTATATGGCTAAATCTATGCCCATATTGAATTTCATGCAATTCAGTTCATAACTAACAGAGATGTAAAAGCGATCGAACATTTCTAAACAAAGTTATCGTTCACACGGACAGATAGATGGACAGACAGACAAAGGAACAGACGGACAGACCAACAGGCAGACGACAGATAGCAATGCAAAATTATAAACGATCTCTAGGATCGTTAATAAACAGCAAAAGTGTAAAATTATGGAACATGTAAAAAACGGTTTTTTGTTTTTTTTTACAATAACTTTTTTTGTAAGCGGTACAGAAAAAAATCCTTCCTTGGTACAAGACTCGACACCATAACGAACCAAATAGCGGAAAAAGTAGAACAATAGCTCTTAAGATAAAGGACTAGTAGCGTCGCAAAACGAGCGGACGGACGGACGGACGGACAAAGTGGCCACAATAGCGCATTTTTTTTTATTTTTGTGGAAATGCGCTAAAAAGAGTGATGGCAGTATGAGGTTTTACGTGGATATAAGCAACTGAACATCGTACCAAACAAGTATAAACTGTGACACAACTCTCGTGCAGTTAAAGGGCATGTTTTTAAACCGAAATAGCTTTTGTTTTGACATCAACAATGGATATATTTCTCGCAGACGTCTCAATCGCCCTTTGTGAGTACGCTCTTCAGACCATGCGTTCTTGAGGTATAAGGGAATATACCCGATCACGATAAGAAGTCGAGGAGGAGGCTATGATTAGTAGAAATTAATTTCTTTCGTTGAGACCTTTCATTAGAGTGCCATGAGGGATAAAACTCCGCCTCCCCCCCCTCCAACCCGGACTTTGATAAGAGTACAGAAAGAAGGGGAACATGTCGGGCTCTCGGATGACACGGCCACCATCTTGGGAGCGCCTCCAGAGGCAAAATCCTGATTCCAGGACGAGCCTATGGAGGATGTCCTTCCGCAGGGAGGATACTCCAGTGGCAAAACTTTCAAACGCACGTGGGGGTCCCATGCGTCACTTTTGTGATAAAAGCGAGTGCTTCGGCTGCCCCAAGTAAGGGAGAGGGCTCCATGGGAGCAGGGGGACCCAATGCCGTTGCGTCGGAAAAGGCTCAATCACTCGCTATCGACCTCGAAAGGGCGTCGGGATTTCTACCGTCGCCTTCAGAGATCGAGAAAGATGACGAGCTTTTGGCTCATGTAGCGGTTCTTGGCTAGAAGAAGGGGGAACCTAGTACATCAGCAATGGACGTGGTTACCTTCTTACACATCAATTTGCGGCACAATAAGGGGGCGACCTGTTTAATAGACCGGCAACTTACTGTAAAGCAGATAGGCGTATGCCTCATACAAGAACCTTGGGTTTACAGGGGACGAGTACGAGGTCTGGGCCAGGTGGACCTCCTTTTTATTATAAGAGGGACAGCCAACTGAACCCTAGAACTTGCATTTATGTCGATAGGCTAATCAAGTCTTATCTGAAGGTCCACCTACCAGGGAGTTGTAAATGTGATGCAAACGCCCACCATGTTACGTGGGACAGTACGGACATGAACCCGAGGGACGACCATCTTCTGGAGTACTTGCTATTACTGATTTCAACGAAACAAGTATTGAGAGTTGCCATACTGTGTTGGGAGACGTTTAATTTGGTAAAAGTTTAGAGTCAACTAACCAATAATTTTGGAGTATTCCCATTGTATTTATGGGGATACGCTATCTAATTGTGGAGACGGTTTTATTTTTATAATGACTTAATAAACCAGTATTTATTTTGTTAAATCGATTGCACTGTTATTATACTTCCCTCGTATCTTCTCAGTTTCACACGGGGAGAGTTTGAGTGGCGCTCAACCCTATCGGCTAGTTGTGACGAAGTATACAGAAGATTAAATTTCCAGAACGAACTACCGCTGTGAATCACGATATATAGCGAATACGTAAACTACCCCGAGTAAAAGTGGTGGTATAGTGCATATAAAGCGGTTGGCTCCATACGCGGGATAAAACCGGCCTGCGTAGCATCATAGTGTGGCAACATCCAGAAGCAGCGAATGTGATACACGCCACATTCTCAGAATTTATGGTACATTACTTTGGAACTCGGTCAAAGAGTAGGCTTTCGCCTTTGACGCTGTCCACCAGGAACATAAAGACTTGTTTGCACTTTTCAGAGCCAGCAGAACACGATCAGTGGTCTCTTGATAGTTATACTCGTATAGTAGTATGTCATATGCAAATGGACGCGATATTAAAAATAGACGCGTATTTTCACATTCTTTTCAACTGAACAATATTTTAAAAAAATGCTTCTTTTGGTGTACGTCGATATATACATTTATTTGGTTTTGCGATATACCTACCTACACTCCCCAATCGCTGATGCCGCGCACTCTATAGCAGAATATTGACGTATGCGAGGTTAGATGGGATGTTTTATTCATTCATCCCATTCCGAATTTGAATATAAGGATTACTTGAATTTATATTGCATAAATCAAACGTTGGAATAAGACGAAATTTAAACAAATCAAATAATAAATTTGAATAAAATTTCCAAGGAACATTCGAACGCCATGCCACTTGAAGGAAGTAAATTTTATTGCAATGGCGACCAATTTGCCAAGAATGAATATACAACTATTAATCTTTTCTAATTGATTTATTTACTGTTTTAGCTGTCATCGTTAAGGCACTTAACCTTGTAAACTGGTGTTCAATGATTGTTGTGATCAGAAATTTATACCACGACCGGAGATCAAACAAAGTATTTATGGCAGAGTGGAGCACTTTACAGATTTGTGCTTTTAACGAATTTTTAATTAGAATTGCATTCTACGCAAATTTCATGTGTGTGAAGGTTAAGATCTCAGAGCAGTCTGACCTCATAGAAGCTGCTGATTTAAAAGATCTATACAGTGCTTATGTGTAATTTTCACACCAAATATTGATTTCTGATGCTGTGCTCTAGATGTAAGTAGGTACATAGGTATTAAAAATGTTCTGTACATCTGCATGTCTGCCCGTCAGTATGCGCTAGGATCTAGCACCAAGAACTTCGACTTTGCTTTATCTCTTCGTAATCTACCTCTAGAACCGTTATTGCTTCTAGTGTTTTTCTGAAGCACACTCTGCAAAGCATTCACACCTCTTTCTGATTGTGGTGAATAGTGTAAAAGGGTGGTTCAAATTGGACACTTTCTTATGGAAACACCATTTATTTTACGATATTTATTTTTATTTATTATCTGTCTCTTGTTCTGGGCCCTCAACAGGCTTGCGCCCAATTACAAAGTGGCCCACATAATGCCTCTGCAGAAGGTCTCAAGTTGTTCTATACTACTCCGGTATTTACCTTACGAATTAGGAAAGCTGCAGGAAAACCTACTTCGGAGCAGCCGGCAGAATGCTCGAAACTGGTCTAAGGTAATTCCCATCTCTGCCACAGATGAAAAATTCACCTCAACCCAGGTTCGAATACCCGACCTCCGGATTTACAGCCCAGCGCTCTACCACTGAACCACAAAGTCGGTTTTCAGCTTAATATTAAAGAGAACATCACTGGCACAAACAAAATTCGGTTCTTTTTAATCGTGTGATCGCTAGGGGGCGTTT